GATCAAAGACCTCAACATAAATTCAGCCACATGGAACCTCTTAGAAGAGAAATTGGGAGGTACCCTTGAAAGAATTAGTACAGGAGACAGCTTCCTGAGCACAACTCCATTAGCACAGACACTGAGATGGACAATTAATAAATGGGACCTCCTGAAACTGAGAAGCTTCTTTAAGACAAAGGACACAGTCAACAAGACAAATGGCAGCCCACACAATGGGAAAGATATTCACTAGCCCACATCTGACAGAGGGCTGATTTCCAAAATATACAAAGAACACAAGAAGCCAGTAACCCAAACACCAAATAATCCAATTAAAAAGTGGGGTACAGAACTAAATAGAGAATTCTCAATAGAGGAATCTAAACTGGCTGTAAGACACTTAACAAACTGCTCAACATCCTTAGTCATCAAGGAAATGCAAATCAAAACAACTCTGAGATAACATCTTGCTCCTGTCAGAATGGCTAAAATAAAAAGCACCAATGACAGTTTATGCTGGAGAGGATATGGAGGATATGGAGAAAGGGAAACACTCCTCCACTGCTGGTGGGAGTGCAAACTCATACATCTACTTAGGAAATCAGTATGGCAGTTCCTTAGGAAAATAGGAATAATCTACAATAAGATCCAGCAATTCCATTTTAGGCATATACCCCAAAGATGCACATTCATACAACAATGACATCTGTTCAACTATGCTCATAGCAGCATAATTTGTAATAGCCAGAACCTGGAAGCAACCTAGATGCCACTCAACTGAAGAGTGGATAGAGAAAATGTGGTACATATACACAATGTAGTACTACTCAGTGGAAAAAATATCAGTGTAATCTTGAAATTTGCAGGCAAATGGATGGCACTAGAAGAAACCATTCTGACTGAGGTAACCGAGTCACAAAAAGCAAACATGGTATGTGCTTACTCATATATGGATTTTAGACATGGAGCAGGGGAGTGCCAGCCTGCAATACCACTGCCAGAGTTTGGGAAAGAGGGAGTACCCTAAGAGAGATATGCATGCATGGTACCCTGGAGAAGGGGAATGGGACAGAATCTCATGAGCAGATGGGGAGAATGGGGGGAGGGGAGAGGGAGCTGGCAGATAGGGGGAGTGGAGGAGGGGAGAGAAGGACATGGAGGAGCAGGAAGTTCGAGTCAGGGGAAGAATAGAGGAGAGCAGGATGACAGATACCATAATAGAGGGAGTCATTATAATTTTGATGAGAGATCTGGCACTAGTGAGGTTTTCAGTGACCTATAAGGAATCTAAGCAATATTGGAGAGACTACCTTAAATGCCCTTCCCCGATATGATAGTGACAACTTTCTTATATCCCATCCTAGAGCCGTCATCCAGTGGCTGGTGGAAGCAGAGTCTGACACTCACAGCTAAACACTCAATTGAACTCCTGGAACCCAGTTGCAGAGAAGAAGGAGTGATGAGCAAAGGAGTCAAGACAAGGCTGGTGAAACCCACAGAAACAGCTGACCTACAAAAAGGGTAGCTCATGGACCCCAGACTGATGGCTAAGAGGCCAGCATGGGACTGATCCAGACCCCCTAAATTTGGGTGTCAGTAAGGAGGCCTTGACAATCTATGGGGCCTCAGGTAGTGAAATCAGTATTTATCCCTAGTACATGAATGGACTTTGGGAGCCTATTCTCTCAGCCTGGATGCATGGGGGAGGGCCTCGGCCCTGCCCTGGATAATATTACAGACTTTGGAGATCCCTCATGTAAGGCCTCACCCTCCCTGGTGAGCAGAGTGGGGATTGGGTGGGGAGCAGGGGGGCTGTTGGGGGGTATGAGAGGAGGGGAGACAATGGAGCTAGGATTGGCATGTTAAGCAAGCTTGTTTCTAATTTCAATAAATAATAAAAAAATAGCCAGAATCTGGAAGCTACCTAGATGCCCCTCTACTGAAGAATGATAAAGAAAATGTGGAACATTTACACAATGGAGTACTACTCAGTGGATAAAACAAAAAAAATGGAATGTTGAAATTCTCAGACAAATGGATGGAACTAGAAGAAACGATCCTGAGTGAGGTAACCCAGCTACAAAAAGACAAACATGGTATGTACTCACTCATATATGGATTCTAGACATAGAGTAAATGAGTAGCAGTCTACAATGCACACTGCTAGAGAAGTTAGGAAAAAAGAAAGATCCTAAGAGAGACATACATGGTCACCCAGAGAAGGGGAATGGTACAAGATCTCCTGAACTAATTGGGAGTATGGGGGAGGGGAGAGGGAGTTAGGAGAAAGAGAACAGGAGAAGAGGAGGGAACAGGAGGACATTATCAGCCACCAGGGAAACATAAATTAAAAGATATATGTTATTTTGCCAAGTTCACAATGGAAAAGAATAAGTAATATATTCTGAAGAGGGAACATACTTGAGTCACTGAACATAGAGAAACCATGCTACAACTAGTCCTGAAGTTTCATCAATACTGGCTTGTTTTCACAGTGCTGGAAAATTCTGTGAATGCTACCAGGGCACAAAGTTAGTCAATAATCACACCTAGCTGTTAGTCTTGTAAACTACAATATCGGGTGATCTGGAAAGGTAGGCACACAGGTGTGATAATGGCATGAATGCTGCAGGTGTAAGCAAATACTGTTGATAGTTTTTAAAGTCCATCTCACAAGATGGAACTTGTGCCTGACTATGTAAATTGGGCACAAACCCAGTGACTTGCTAAGTAATTAATTGGCCCTGTGGGACGACATTGCTTAAGATTATTATTCTGCTAGATGGATGAAATTGATCTATCTCTATGTTGTTATCTTATACACATAGATCAATGAATCTCTAAACCCTTACAATAGAAACTTATTTTGAAGTATTTGGTTTATACAGGAACTGATAATTGGCTAACATGTAGATACTAAGAGACAGTGAAGTTAAGAACTAAAAGGAACATTTAAATGGCACCTTCTCCTTTCAAGTCCAACAGATCATCATGGGAGAGGGAGCAGAAATATTGTAAGAGATAGAGGTGGTGGGTTTCTGCAGAAGAATAGTATTTGTAGGACATTAGAGGACCATTGTTTACATTGTTCACACTAACTGTGACTGCCTGCATAAGACCTGTACAATGCAAACATAATATGAGGCATAGTTGGAGTGACTCATCAAGTCATACCTGTAGATGATCAATGTGGCAATTGATGGACCCTGAGAAATAAAATTCAGCTCTTTAAGGCATGTGAACTGTGAGATGCTACCCACATTCCAGTTCATAGTCCTACACTCAGGCACATACAGGTAGCACTAAGTGGATTTATAAACACAACACATGAAATGGGAAGGACAATGACTGGTAGAGGAGAAACTGAAGGAAAAGAAAGGGAAGAAGATTTGTTCAAAACACATTAGAATGTATGGAATTCTCAAACAATAAGAAAAATCACTAAACATCCTATACACGTGTTAGGAAACATCTTAAAGTAGATTGTAAGGAATAGCAATGTAGATAATCCTCTTCCACAGGATTACTACTTCAGTATAAATAATTTGTTCCTAAAAATGCACATGAGAATTAATTTAGTCAAAGAAGAGGGTATGTACTCATAATGAATACATGTAAAGCAGGAATAAAAATTTAGTATTTCATAGTACACATTTAATAGCTCAAAAATAATTTTGCCAAATACGTCACACTTGTAGGAAGTTCAGCTAGGCAATGCTGTCATAAATTAAATAAAATTATCTCAAGAAAGAATTTCAAAATGCCCTCGGGAAGGACAAAGATGATCAATTAAAATTAACTGTATTCCCATAGCTTTTAAAGTGTAAAATGCACTAAATGTTCCAAAAGATTAGTAGGACTGATCACATACGTTGAGTGGCAAAACAAGCAGGTAGTTTAAAGGTCACACAGAGATAATGAAATGTCAACTTTCTCCTACATGTCCTTGACTTGAGGGAAGAATGAGGGTGTTTCAGGACTTACGGACCTGGAAAGGGACTTACAGAGTGCTCCAAAGATGTCACTCAACGTGGGCTTCATGCAGCAGAAAAGCCAAGGTAATCAGCAGATGCAGAGTAGAAGTGAACAGGAAGCCAGCAAGCAAACAGACCTTGGTGTTCTCAAGGTATCATCAATATCCATTTACTTACTTCAGAATGAAGATCCTAGTTGATCAGCTGATCCTAACCTAATCATCAGGGAAAGGATATATTTGAACAAGTCCTTGTAATTCAAAGCAATGGGGCTTTGGAGATAAGTTGCAAATGTGACCATATGTCCTTACCCTTAAAAAAGTGATTCCTATAGACAAGAAACTACACGAGGAGCTTCTCATCTGTTATCTATAAAACATGTAGCTTGTGGTCACAGAATCAGGACACTTGTTTTGGTCAGTAATGACTCATTTACATAAATACCCACATTTCACATAGAAGAGATGATTTTTACCACTGTAGACTGCAAATTAGAAAAGAAGAGGAAAATAATACTACAATTTATTTTCCTGCCTGCACCCTCTTTTCACTCATGCCATTGGTTGCTCTTGTGGGCATGTTTTTCAATAGCTTTCTTCTTGTCTGTGTAACAAGGAGAAGCTGAGAAGCTTACATAGTCATTTTAAGGAACACATGTGTAGTAAGAACTGCAAATAAAATTTGTAATGTTGGAAAAATAATTTAATGCATTGTACCACATTTTAATTTAAAACTATGTCTATGAGTCTACACTTAACTCCCAGATTATGTTTGTAGATATGTGAAACAATTGTCCATTGTTGAAAATAGGATTCCCCCTTCTCTATCTTTGCACACAAGTTACTTAAGAGCTCTGGGATTCATTGCTACTCACGGAGATAAACAGCACTTTGACATGAAGGTGAACGAAAGATGCCCTCGAGGAAGTGACACCTAATTGAAGTCCCAAGTTTTATTCAGACAAGAGATGCTAATGTCTTTTCATGGGTGTTCTTTATAGATGTGTAGGTGCCATATCAATTGCAAAATAAAGTTTACACAGAATTTAAGAAAAATGGTTTATTTTTTACAATGCATCATAGGATATAAAAAATATCTTCCAGTGCATGATCATTTGGTATTCACACACTTTCATGTGAAAAGAAGCTTTTATAATCCACATTTTACACATGAATAAACACAAAATTATGGGGTAATATGGGCATGTTTCAGTTTCTCTCAAAGGAGTACACTAATTAACAGAGTTGTATTTGCACATTGCTGGAAAACCTCTCATCAGTTATCTTGGTAGGAGAACTGAACTCATCAGTCTTACACAATCTTATAAAAGTTATAAAACTAGTCCAGTTTCCTGGACAGTACAATGGCTAACAATATTTACTATTTGCAGCAGTTTCATTCACGAATCACATTTCATATGACCAAGGAAAAGATTCCACACAAATCACTCAGAAGGGACTTTGTCATGTGACTCTCACTATGTTTACTCATTAGCCATGATCATGGTAATAACATTGTAGAAAATAAGTAGGGCAGCAAGACATACTCCCGATCCTCTATCCACCCATTACTTTTAATTTCTTAATTCAAATTTTAATTGAATTTACTGTGTGCCATTCTGCATTCTACTCAGTAAATATGCTGACTTCAGAGAGGTCCATTCATACTTTCCCACAATATACTAAGATCATTGTCTTTGACCAAAAGACAAACTCTTGGAGCACCTAATGTGTTCAGAAACCACAGCATCAATACTATCTGTTCTTTGAACTTTATTTTCTGTAACCCTTCATTACTTACCTCCAATTCAATTAAGAGGTCTTCCAGCCTGTATTTTACCTAACTGCTCTAAAAATGTCTTTCTCCCTGTATTGGTTGAAAATGGTCCCCTTCGCCATCTGCTTAGGAAACCTACACTTCACAGAGTTCCTCTGGTGCCCCTGTAGAAATTCTATTCTAATATTCAATGTCTCGTTTCTTGACTATGCAATACCATCTGCACTATATTTGCTCAACAGTCAATTATATTTTATATTGTAAAGAATACAGGGACCCAGGGAAATCTAACTAGTGTTACAAGATGGGCCACATGTTAAAAAAAAAAGCTAATAGAAGTTTCTTCTACAGGTCTAATCACCATCCTACCACCAGCCTCCACCATTAAATTATCTTCATCCCCAACGTGCTGAAGAAGATTTTTTTTGCCTACAGATTGCACAGACAAAAAAATATCTAGCAATGCTGGTATAAAGTTAAACTCAAGAGATAGTGAATAAAGAATACAAGTTTAATAATGTAATATAAAAGGAATATTTTATTTTAAATCAATTACACATCATACTTGCTGATCAGCTTTAAGTTTTGTTCAAGGGACTGTCTGTGACTACTAAAAGAAACCCCCAATTTTTTTTCAGCGAATAATTGGGAAATAGCATGGTTCACTAGTTAAAGAGAAAGTATGTTGGGGAGAGAGAATGTGCTGACTGTGCTATTGTATGGCTACCTAATAGAAAAGCAACTGTATGACTTGGTTGTTCACAGGAATAAGGAACCTCTCTAAGTCCTCTAGCAAATGACAGACGCATGATGATGGTTGCATTTATTTGTTTCCTAACATAAAGAAATGAAGGTGTGTTAGCAGAGCTTCTATCTTTAAGAAAACACCGGAAAGCACATAGTCTGGTACCACAAGGAAAATACAGAATTATGTGTTTGACATTAGTTACTTATATTTTTTGACTTTGCTGCACTGTTGTATGTACTCAGATAATTAATTTAATTAAAAGAATTTTAGTACAATATGAATTCATTACAAAATGAATAATCATAATTCTTGGGATTTGTTGCATTAGATTAATGATAAAAGACAAACATCCCTTTCTTTGGGCCATGCAGTTTAATTTCTCCGATTTTTAAAAAGGGATATAAGAAATGTTAACTAAAGAGATAAGAAACTAGTAATTAACTCAAGTTCTATTTATTTTATTCTTTTACCTATCTAATTATTTCTTGGCTGCATCTTTCTCATCATGATGTGATAAATAGAAATGGCTTAATTGAGGAAACTAGGGATAGCAAGGAACTCTTCTGCTCATCAGACAGGGAAGAAACTCACTGTTCACATTGTATCCATTTAGGAAACAAATCAATTTTAAATAATTATTTTATTTCACTCCTTTCCATTGTTGGGAACTGCTATAATACAATTTAAGATGGTTTCACTAACAAACACCTCTTCATTGTTTGCTGTTGCTTTACAAAGCTGATGAGACTCAAGATCACATTATTTCATTTTATTTTAATATTGTGAGTTCAATCTATTCTTGATTTAACTATAAAAGAAGCAAAACGTGTTTCTTGAGGAAATCTTGATTTCTTATGGGATAATAGAGAAAAGACTAAAACAAAACTTAAGAGATATTCATGTGATGTCAAACGCCAAACTTAAAGTGTTGAGAAGAAGAATTTTTAATCTGTTGAATGCTCTGAAACATTTTTAATAGGACAAAAATTAGATAAAATATTCATCATCTCCAGGACAGGGTTCATTCTCATTTACAGACCTAATGACTTTGATCTCCAGTTATCCTTACTGCACGTTTTAATTATCTGGCTAAAAGAAGCTGTGAAAAATCAAATAGCATATCTATTTTGTGAGATTATGCCTAAAATCTGCATGTGTATAAAAACAGGTGCAGAAAAAGTCAGAACATTAACCTGTGTTAAGCAGTAGCTCTGCACTTGGAGAGAAATGAAAAGCTTAACTTGGGTCTTTATTGGTATTCTGCATGAAAATGAAAGGCTGTCAAACTTCTAAAAGGTGAATACAGACACATCAAAACCAGCAGTTTCACCAAATTTACAACGTGATGTATTTGAAAATATCTCGTTGTATTAGGATATCTCTTTTGTGAGTTTATTTAAAATAACCATGAATAAAATGCTGTTAACTGTTAAATTTCATAGTTTTAAACCACTCCTTTCTTCTGCTACAAGTATCACCCATTTTGAAGGTTGATATGCAAGCTGTAAAGTTTCATATAGTTATCTATTTAATAAGTATTTTTAAATAAATTGACAAATCAGAATATTGAATTGGTTTTTATAAAGGCACCGGCAGGGAGATCCAAAATATACTTGGTAGATTTTCTGGATTCTCTCACTCCAAGATTCGGAACTTAGAATCTCTGATGGGGACAATCACAGGCTTCCAGGACTCCTTTCTTGAACAGTCAATACCTGTAGGGCATGTGATTATCATCCAAAAGGAGGTCTCATTCAAGAGAAGTTATGTTCCCATGAAACATTATATATTAAATATGTTAGTCACCCATCCTTATTATTATATTTAATTCAGTTTTGAGTTTAGTGGATTTGAGGTATTAAATGCACTTAAGCATAAAATAAGCAGATCAGTAGCATTTTTAGATATTAAAAGAACTGGAAAATTTGCAAATCTACAAGGCAGGAGCATGGCGATTTACCCATTTAATTTGTCTTCCTGTCTTCATTGTTGTATATGAAACACACCATGACATATATATCAAGTGTGATATTATCCATTCAAAAATAATACTGTCCACTGAGAATTCCTAGAGACATTAAACAGTACAAAATAGGGTAACTGATTTTAATGATAATCTTGGAGTGCCAAATTTGAACTAATGAACACAAGATTAGATATGGTAACAAATAAATTGACTATCCAAGCAGGAAAAGGTGAATTTTATCATTAGTGATATTTGCAAAATATTCATCATGTTAAAGAAATACAGCATTCATTGTGTCAGTACATTTTCTTATTGAACAATTTGTCAACTCAATTCAAAGAAATGATCCTTTTAATATTATTTCATCTTTGTACATGTAGCTTCATATGATATTTGTGTGCATGTGTTTGGGGGTATATGCACATGCATGTATGTGTGCGTGCATGTGTTCTGAGGCCAGAGGTTGACAGTGAGTGTCTTCCCTCACTCAATCTTTGCTGTGTTTACCTCGAAAGGGTCTCTGGCTCAACCTAGACCTCTTCCGTTCAGCTGGTTTAGTTAGATTAGTGTTTCTAACACCCCCTTGCGACCCTCTAATACAGCTGTTTATGTTGTGGTGACTACCCCATCCATAAAATTAGATTTGTTGCTACTTCATAACTGTCATTTTGCTATTGTTTGTTCAACTGTCATAGGGGTTGTGGTGCACCGGTGGAGAACCACTGAGTTAGACTATTTGACCTGGCAATACCCTTCTCTGTCTTAACAGAGCTGAGATTACAGGAAGACCATCAAACCTACTTGCCACATATATCCTTGTGTGGCAAGAACTCCACAAGACATGTTGATCATGTTTCCCATATTCAAGAATTGCTGTAATTCTTTAGTTTTCCTATCACAATTTACTTTATCTCCATTTACTTGGTATTTTCTTTAATTTATATTTTAACACATGAGAGATTGGCCTGATAAAAGGGACCTGATAAGGAATATCCATCGAGGCTATAAAGGCTGCTCCAGCTGATGGCAGAAGTTGTAGTTGACCAGATTTCTTTGCTGTTTGAAGGTCCCAATTATTTTATTCTTGAGATTCTTGTTATTTTGAAGAGAGTAAGCAGATTTACTGTAATTGTTTTTTCAAAATTAATTTTGGAAGACTACAAATCCTTTATTAGCAAAGGAATCCATTCAGCGTTTATAGGGGCGCATATAATTCAATGGGACTTATGTGTATGATGAGTTTTAGTTTTTCTGTATGAAATTCATTGTACCCGTTAAGCATCTAGACCCATGTGTGTATTGGTGACTCAGAATGGTGTAGTGTAGTCATAAAACAGTGTATGATTTTAAAGAACTGACTTAGAAAGACTCTTAATACAAAAGGCATATATTCATAAGATGCTAGAAATCAAATATTTAGGGAAGCCTCAATATTAAATGACATTTTGTAATCTAGAGTGTAGGAAGAGTTGTTATTAATAATTCATGTGCTCATGTAACTCTGCATTTTATCACAACAGAAAAAGCATTTCTCTTAACTCAAATTAGGAAATTATTATACATTATGTATATATATTTATATAAAAGTTACAAGTAGCAAGCAATGGCACAAAGAAATGGAAGAGTAACAGCAATATTTGAGAATGCATGCTTTTTACAATGTGTCTAGTAAAGACGACATTTTTTTCCAACCTAAATATCCAGTACTGACATGCAGGGAATTTTCTCAAATTGTCAATTCAGTCATATTGCTAAGTGCTTAATCAAACAAAATTCTGTTGTAGGGTGTGAATGGCAAATACCTGATTTCAAAAAGGCATTTATGAAACTCAGTATCTTTCCTTGATGAAAACAAGAAAGGAAATCAGGGGTACATAGAGGTGGTAAGGGGGAGAGAAAAAGAGAGAAAGACAGAGGGAAGGGGGAGATATTTATCTTATTGCAATCTAGATTTTACTCATTATTTTTACTGCACTTAATTATAGTGAAAAAGTAGGTGTGTACAGTCCAATGAACCTCTAGCTGGTGTTTCCATGATCCACATTTCCATTTTTCATGGCAGCATGTTCAAAATCACGCAGGAACGCACTATTCTCAAGTAGTCTATGTAACGAAAACAATGTACATGTAACACAGGGGTCACCAAAATGTTGTTTTTGCTTTTTTTTTCTCACAGATCACACAGGTACAATCATGTAACAAAGACATGAACAACATACAAATGGGAGTGAGACTGAAGGTAAAAGTAAAGCTGGGGTAGTCTTAATCAGGAACTAATTTCTTCTTCAAGTTTCCGTAAATCTCAGAATGTATTTAAAACCTAAGGAGCACTTGGTGATCAGCAACCAAATTAGGGAAATGGACACATCATTGCTCAGCAGCTGGGATGTCTTGCCGAAGGAATAACGCATGTCTGTAGTAACTCTTAAGTTTGGGTAAAGGCAGTGGAATGAATTTAGAAATATGTCCACTTTTCACAATTCACTACAGAATTCTCTTTTCACAGTCCCCATGTTTGTATAAATGTTCTCTGAAAATAAAGCACAGTTAAAACATTTTTCTCCCAATGAAAAAGATGCAACAAACACACCAGCTTATTAAGGTCATACAGAGCATGGGATGCGTTCTCCTAATTCAAGAACGGTTGATAGGCTCGAAGAGTTTTGAGGAGATTAGCTGTGAAGCAAATTTAATTGGAGATGAGTTAGAGTAAAGTATATTCAGACTGCCAAGTGAAGATGTAAAGCCTTTGAAGATGCACATGTGGACAACTAAAGGCTATGAGGCCTTTAAAACATAAAACACTCAAATTTTATTTTATAAAATTTCATCAACATGCCACAATTAATTTTAATGAGAAAAATTAATCATTCATGCAAAAATAATACCACACAAATTGTATAAATACCACCAAATACTTGGTGTTGCATTTAAATAGAATGTACCCAAATTATGTCAGTAATTGCAAGTCAAATGCATTCAATTCAGTTGCTTTAAGAGTGAATATTGCTTAATAATTAAAAAAAAACTTGGGTTTGCTGAGCCAGTCTTTGGAAGAAAGTTCATTACTATTATTATCTTTGTCTTACAATGCAAATACTTGCTTACTTTGTTGTTGAACAATGTTTAATGGAAGAATATTAAAATGTGATATAAAACTATGTATCTTAAGAATAATCACTCCATTATCATCACATCCATTATACTTCTAAATATGAAATGCCATGAAATACATAGCTTAAAAATAATGAATAAATAACACATTCTTTGAAATACTATAAGACAGCTGCAACAAAACAGAACAAAATAGAACATGACAAAGAGCATTGGCTTACCTTGACTTTTCGTTTTAGACCCTAGTTGTGTTGTATTCAGATTCATGTTTGCTTAGAGACCCAATGAGGCAGAACCTGGAATGTTATGGCTATTTCATTCAATAAAGTAATATTTGCACAAAATATAAATACATATATTTACTTTAAAAGCATCCCTAAATTTAATAAAGCAATAAAATAGTGGTATTTCATCAGCATGCAAGAACATATTAAATCAACTTAGATATTTTATGTTCTACCAATAAAATTTATAACTATAGAGTTAAATATATTATAGGCAACATGAAATAACACAGCATAATTCAACTACTTGTTGAAATTTCAAAAAGAAACCATTACTAAATCCAAATTATCTGTCCAAATATTTTTACTCATTTTTAGAAATATTAACATATAACATATAGTTGATATATCTATAAATAAAAGATGAATAAAATGTCTCCCAATATTTTCTATATTTAAATATATTTTTAGTGTTTTATCATTTGATGTTATAAAATATATTTGTAATCTAAATATTACATTATATGGGGAAAATATACTTTTATTTTCTTACCAAAATAAATAGATTCTATTGCAAAATATTTTATTTTTGAATTAAAAATATTCAATAAGATGGTATAGTTATCTTGGTAAGGCAACAGTTTTAGAATATTATTTTTTCCTGTCCTAAAGTATAATATCGATGAGAACAACTATCACTACGTGAAGGCAAATTATTTGCATAAATCTCTACTATAAATGAAGTGCCCTATTTTCTATAGAAATGGTTTTTATGTATACAGAAATAAACAAAATATCTTTGGTTTGTGTGTACATGTGTTGTCACACACATGTACATTTCATGCACATGTATGGAATATAAAATGAACAGACTAGCACTAGGAAGAGCAAAAAGGGGAGATGAGGACACTGTAGTTTCAACTATCATTCACAGGGAAGGTGAGCATGAAGACAGACTAGAACACAATGCTGTGGGAGCATTTCCGTCTTCAGTTAATGGTTGCCATCAAATATCTATGGATACTGACCGCTGGACGGATTTCTCATGTCTGGATAGCCTGTGACTTGTGGTGGGCACCTCCTCAATCTCGTCGATGTCACAGGCATCTGCAGCATCTTGTGAGTAGTTGTGTTTCATGACCAGGATGTTCCTTCTGTTCACAGGTGGGATGAGGGGCTTGACTGGCTGGGTGGGTATCTCTGCCAAGATAGAAGCGTCCCTTGTGCTGAGGTTACTGCGGCTGCCTTTTGCGCTGGACAGTTGGGATCCACAGTGATGGTCATGAAAGCATTTGGAAGATGATCTCCGCAGTTTGTGATAACTATCAAAGTCATCTGCAAAGTCAGCCGTTGCTCCGGTTCCTCTGAGGGTGCATAGCTCATAGTGAGGAGGCTCAAACACCTCCTGGAAAACGGTCTGGTCAAAGTCTGACTTCCTTTGGACATATTTTTTACGAGGCTGTTTGATCTGAACAATGACAGAGATGATAATGAGGATGATCACAATGCAGGAAGTCACGCCAATGACCGTTCCACTGGTGTTGGTCAGCTGATCCAGCAGGCTGGTTTTCCTCTTTTCTGTAGGTAGGAGAGAGTGACAATGGCAGACAGACCAGGAGAAACAACCCACCACACATTAGTATTGCCTTCAAAATGAAAATCTAAAACTGGAACAAAAAGGATGAGCATACAATTCTCACAGCCCTAAAATATGGCACAACAGTGCTTCAGAATAAAAATTTCGTTTTCCCAAGGGCTCTATTTTAAATCCATAAAAGTAACTATCTTTCCAAAGCCACAGAGAAACCTTGTCTCGAAAAAAAACAAACAAAAAAGTAATTATCTTATTGTCTGCCTCCTACTTTTTATGTATATATGTATACATATCTGTGTATGTGTGCTCAAATGCAGATACATGCTAAAATTTGCACAAAACTTATAAAATGACATTTGTGAATGATGTGATAATTTCCTGAACTATAACAGGTTATCTCCTTTTAGTCATAAGAGAATCTCTTAATTCCAAACCAGAAATGAATATACCTGCCTTTCTGTTACTGCTTGCCAGGAAAAAGTGAAGTTATAGGAACTGCGGCATTTTGATACTGAGAATAATTCAACATGAAATCTCAGCAGACATTTGGAATGGAAGCATGAGAAGTTGCCCATATTTTCTCTAAACAAAATTGCTATAGAAATTGACCACTAAAATTGGGGTGGGGTCTGATGAAGGCGAGGAAGTTTTCCTCTTAGTGGGTAGCAAATGGGAACATATGAGAAAAGATCACAGGAGTGAGCGTGTGAGACAGGCTGTACTCAGGAGAGAATATCTGCTTGAAAGAATAACTGCAAACAGTCATTCTTACAGATGTACAAAAGGAATTAATCCAAATCCCTAAAATAAGACAAAATGTATGAGAATTCCTCAGGAAGAGTAATCATCCATGTCATTTAAGCAACAACCCTCCCCACTTCCCAAACATCAGCTCTATTTTAGGGAAGTTGAAAGTAAAACCACAAAGCTCTATCTGCAAAGCTGATGATGGAGAAATAAAAATTCTGGGAAAAATAATCCAGAAAAGTGAACATAGCACCAGAAAAAAAGTGTCAAATAATCTATATAGTTTCTATTGGACAAACTCTTCTTACTACCTCATTGGGTCAGTGGATACTGTACAGAGTTTCTCTGCTTCCCTTTGTAGATCATCCTAAAATTTAAGTGGGAACGTGTTCCTTGTTAATCTTCCTTTGAATTGGGTTTAACTTTAGGCCTTAATAACCAATCATTTATTCATGTTAACTAAAATGGAGCAGAATCTATCCAACAAACTCTCTTTAAATAACCATACATTGGTTGTGGGCTGGCCCACAGGGTAACTATTTCAAAGGACAGAAAATATTTTTTCAACAAAATAGAAGTGGCTTCAATTGATAACAGAAAGATTCTTCCAAATATTTTACCATTAGACTATGTGCAAAACAAAAGTGCACTGGAAAAAGCTTGACTAAGGGAAAAATGGAATAGAAGAAATGTAATAGGGTACAGAGGTGTCATGGAGACGTGAAGCTCTCCACTGTTAGCTGCTCTCTTCTCCCTTTGGCCCTGTGAGTTCTCCTGAGGTACCTTTTGTGTGTGCTCCATAATGTAAGCAGAGTCCACTGTCAAAATGAATGAGGAGATTTCTAGGCACACTGAGGAATGAAGACGGAGACTATTTACAAACTGACTACAAGGCATATACAAAGGCCTACAAAACCACACCCTCTGTTTCATAAAACTGATGCAGGTACAGCTCCTCCCCATTCTATAGGTCTGTTTCCATTACCTTTACAGTGATTTTCATCCCAGGGATACACACAGTTCTGGAGCCCATTGCAGACAAGCGTGTTGTTAATACACATGTTACTGTGGCAGAAGAATGTGTTGCCTTCACAAGGAGCTAAGGGAAGAAAAGGGGGGGAGTGTGTGACAAAGAAAGAAACCCATATCCAATACTCTTGGTCACTGATATTATGAACTTGACAGAAATCAAGATGCGCCTTTAATAAGACACGTCACTGGTTTCTCAAAAAGGTTGCCACAGTGATCATTATTCTTAGTGACTGGAGCCTCAGCTTATCAGAAGGACACAGTGTTTGCCCTCTCATCGGTACATGCAACTTAGAAACATTCATGTACTTTCCCTGGGCATAAGCATGCTCTACACAGCAATTCTCCATACATAAATTTAGATTTACCATACAAAAGCATTAATCAAATCGGGTATATTTTAAAAATATATGGCAGGTACTATTGAGAAAAATATATATTTAAGAAAATCCACAACTGCACTTTATTATATGCAAAATAAAAGCTGCAGAAATCCAGAATCAACAGAAAATTTATCTTCAACAATCTCAAGAAAATAAAAGAATGAACATTTTTTTCATCCTCTCAAGCACACACACACACACACACACAGAGAGGGGAGGGCTGTCTCTAGTATATATAATATGTATGTGATTTACACAGCCTAGTAATAACGTAATGACTAATTTCCAGAATACAATGCACATTTAGGTAATGGGTCCTAAAATTACAACTTCAAAGTGATATGAAACGTGAATAGAGAATTATGAAGACATGTGAGGAGCAATGAGATCAAATAAAAATGTCTAACGTGATGTTGATAGCAGAAAACATGATTTATATCATTATTACAGTAAATATCTACTTAGTCTGCAGAAATACTACACTGTGAATTACAGCTCAAAGAAACATTTTCTGGAACATTTCTTCATCTTTATCATCAGTGTATACCTCATTTAATTTTGTGCTAATTTTCTCAGTAAAAAATTTAATTCTCTTTTGCAGTAATAGTCTAGGAAAGTGAATATATAAATATGGTATATATGAGATGTTTGAAATCAGTCATTCAAGGCTTATTAATGATCAATATTATCTAAAACTACAACTGCAACAAACTTTAGAAAATTCAGAAACAAATATTTTATATATTTAGGGAAATTAGTTTCTGTACTATATATGCTGTGCTTTTTAATATGGTCAGGAAAACATTTGTGTAAGGTAACTAAGGGTATTTTCATGTATCTAATACATTTTATGTTGTTGAATTATGAAAATAAGTAGTAAAGATGAGGGAATGAAGAGATGGTTAAGTGATTAAGAATGCTGATAACTCTTTCATAGGACCTGGATTCACTTTCCATCACCAACATGGTGGTTTACATCTACATGTAACTCCAGTTCCAGGCATCTTTTTCATTGTTTGGCCCCATATGTCCCTGTGTGCATTTAGTAAACATAAACTCACCAAAGCACTAACTCATTCAAACACAAAAATAACGATATAAAAAAAATTTTAAGGCATTCACAATCTCAGACCCAATGGTTCCACCTGCTCCCTGCTATGGCTTTCCCAGTAATCAGTGTTTATTTCCCACAGCTGAGAGCTACTCCAGGTTCCTTGTATAAAGATTAAAACACATGGAATATTATCTGGAGAAGCTATAAAAAACAAAGAACCTGTGGGCAGTCATTTTGAAAGTACTGCGCTTAATGCTTTGTGAGATTAGAGACTTGTTTAGAGGTATGTGAATCTGTTATAATGCTTAATTTAATGATATGATGTATTGTTGCAAAAGTTTGCTTTTCAGTTTGGGAGTAAATTTAAGTTACTAATGCCTTTGTAGAACAGATATGCTCTGCTACACAAGTAATAATTGTTGTCAAAATTTGTACACAAAATATTAAGGCATTTTCTACAAATAGATTAGAGTGACTGAAAACTGTGCATGTGTGTAAAGCATGATGTGCTGATGTATTATTTATGCTTCATTAAAACTTGCTTGCCTGAGGATTAAGAAAGAAAAGTCAGCCTCATGCTATAGAGATCAGGCACTGGTGGTTCAGACCTTTAATCCCAGGACTCAGGAGTAAGAGGTAGATGAATCTCTGTTAGTTCAAGGCCACCATGACCTGCACAAGAATGAAGAATAACAGAGCTCATGCCATTGATCCCAACACCTGGGATCGCATGCCTTTAATCCCAGCATCAGGGAGCATCTTCTCTCTTCCACCTGCAACAAATATGCTTCCTTCCATTCAATACCAACAATTGGGTCTCTCGTGGGGTTATCCACTACTGACAATTCCCCTGGATGCAAGACTTCCATTCTAGAGCAAAGTCCTTTCCTTACCTTCTTGCTTTTCTCAAAGACCTGGTACCAGGCGACTGTGTCTCTCCTGGCATCAGAGTCCTTGGCCCCCACACTTTGAGTGCAGACTCATTGGGTGGCCTCTGCCTATCTTGAAATCAGTCCTCTCCGAATTCCTTAGACACTAGGAATTGCAGACCCTTTGGTCTAACTTCTCTGACTTACTCTTCGAAGCTGTGTCATCATCTATACCCCCTTGCTCCCATTGGGATGATTTTTGGAGTCACATTGACCATTCCTAATCAGTTATTATTGCAAGACTACCAGCTGTTGGCCATACTGCTCGAGGCATAAGACTATCAAACATGTCTGAGTGATGCGGCTCCAGTCTCTGGAGGCCGGTTTCCCCACTCCCCTCTCCCCTTTCCCCATTTTATAATCCCTTTCCATAATAATAAAAAACCCTCGACAGAACAAAACAAACAAACAAAAACAAAGACAGGAGCAAGGTCTTGGAGCTAACATTCAGTCTTAGGATCTCAGGATTCTCCAGCCACATTGAGGAGAGCATGGCAGTCTGAACTACAGTCTGAGGTTCAGTGGAGCCAGTACCACCTTTCAGTCTGAGGTAGAGTAAGAGCTAATGGCAAGCTGCTTTGCTTTTCTGATCTTCAGATTGAAGTTTGTAACCAAATATCTGTCTCTGGGTCATTTATTTTTTGTGCTGCAGCATGATTAGTATATTGCTCTGGTTAATAGTTTTCTACCAAGTAAAGAATGCCTATGAAATACATGGCTATTTCTTTGCCTACCGCAATGCCTTGCTAAAATTGTAAAAATTGATATATTGGCCGGGCAGTGGTGGCACACGCCTTTAATCCCAGCACTCGGGAGGCAGAAGCAGGCGGATCTCTGTGAGTTTGAGGCCAGGCTGGACCGACAGCCTCCAAAACAATACAGAGAAACCCTGTCTCGTAAAACCAAAAAAAAAAAAAAAAAGATATATCGGATGAGTTTGTTTAAAAAATTTAAACCTATGAATCAAAGGAGCATTTTACCTTGGATATGAGGCAATGTAAATAATGTACAGCTAAGAGTGTTCAGATTGATATTTCAAATAGTAAGGATGTGATTTGTCTTATCTGCTGCTTCCTAATTATGAAACTGCTAATCAACATGTCCTTTCAGTTATTATATATGACTTGGTGTTACTGAGAACAATATATATATATGCATATATATATATACATATATATCACATATTCAAGCATTTAAGATCTTGTTCACTTGAGGATTGATAGGAGTCACAATATTGCCTTTATTGAGATAAAAAAAAATTTAAAGCTTTCAGAAAAGCAAATAAATATCTAGACTGTGAATTATTTATAGGTACCTTCAATACAGTTTAAATTTTATTCACTGAACATTATATAAATCGTTCAAAATAAATTATGTATGAAGAAAATTCACAGCCTTTTCCCGTAAGAAATGGAAGAAGTGCAGTGTGAGCTGTAGATCCCAGATTTCCAGTTCATAGATCTGGAAACTCTCCGTGTAAATAGGAGCTGGTTCTTCATACAAATTTCATTGTCAAGAATATCCATACCTTTGTTTGGTTTAAATAATTCCATTTATCATTTGAAAGGGAAAACAATATTTAAATTAAAGAGTTATACTCCTAATTTTAAAACTGCATCATAGTGTGAATATTCTTTTATTGTCGTCTTTGCTTTTAAATTTAAATTAGAAACAAGCTTCTTTTACATGTCAATCCCAGTTCCCTCTCCCTCCCCTCCTCCCCTGGTGCCCACTGACTGCCTATTCCATCTCCTTTCTGCTCCCCAGGGAGGCTGAGACCTTCCTTGGGGGATCTTCAAAGTCTGTCATATCATTTGGAGCAGAGTCTAGACCATCCACCATGTGTGTAAAATGAGAGAGTATCCCTCTATGTGGAGTGGGTTCCCAAAGTCCATTCGTATACTAGGGATAAATACTGATCCATTACCAGAGGCCTCATAGGTTACCCAGACCTCAAAACTGACACCCACATTCAGGGGATCTGGAACAGTCTTATGCTGGTTTCCCAGCTATCAGTTTGGGGTCCTGATGCAATTTCTCAAATAATAAAGTAATAAACACACTACAAAAATATGCAGGAAATACATCAGTTAAACTGTGGGTAATTTCCAGATTATTTGTAATGGTTATTTCCAGTATTTATTGAAATTATATTGTGTTTATCTCTTTTTGAGAAAATTTCAATTCTTTTATGTTTGTGAAAACTCAAGTATTCTCAATCAAAGGGCATAAAATATTGTTCAAAAAGGGCAATTTTCCATCTCAGATGTTTTACAAGAAAAATGGCAGCTTCGTAGGATGTCTATACTTCTCTACAATTAAAAAAAATGAACATAAATGTATTTAAGGACAATTGTATACGAATTCTCAACTGTTTGCGCTCCATCCACAAGGGGGCAGGCTTCTACCACACATAGCTGAATCTTCTCAGGGCCTTTAAATACAGTAGTGAGACAGCATCCCTACACCTGAAGACTCACTCTTTAGAGGGGTCCCCAGGGACCATTACACAGTGTTAACGGAAGAGGGTGAAAGAAAGACACATACCTCATGCATGACACTGTTTACTTATTCCACAAATTCATGTTTTATAAAAATCAAGTATCTAATAGGACAGTATTTGGCTCCTAAGTTCATAAACAGTTTCAGTTCTTTTCTTTCTTCAAATACACAAAAATTCCCTAAATATTAAATAAAATGAGAA